GAGCGGCCCGCCGTCGAGCGGCGCGGCGGCCGCCGGGTCTGGCCCGTGCCGACACGGCTCCCTGACCGTTACCCGACAGGGCGCCGGCGGCCTCGGCCGACGCCGAGCTGGTGACAGAGCTGCGCGCGCTGCGCCAGCGCCGCGGCGAGCTGGAAACCCACCTCAGCACGCTGCAGGACTCGCGCCGCCAGCTCATGGGCCAACTGGATTCGCTCATGAAGATGCTGAAGGTGAGCTGCGCCGGATGAACGAAACGGGTTCTGCCCTCCAGCGGTGGAGCCGGTGCGGTCCTGGCGTCCCTGTCGACCTTGTTGACCTTCGCGGGTGTAAGCGCGGCCCTGACCCCCGCACTGCTGGCCGGTGTTAGAGCCCCTGGCTGTCGCTGGGTACGACAGCTGATGGCGCGGTCAGACTGTGACGCGCGAGCGGCTGCTGTGTGCGTCTGACGGTGCGGTCAGACTGTGACGCGCGAGCGGCTGCTGTGTGCGTCTGACGGCGCGGTCAGGCTGTGACGCGCGAGCGGCTGTTGTGTGCGTCTGACGGCGCGGTCAGACTGTGACGCGCGAGCGGCTGTTGTGTGCGTCTGACGGCCGTTCGGGGGTGCCCGCAGAGCCAGCAGCTTTCGCCGGTCAGCGGCTCTATGTCGCTGCCGCGCACCTCCAAGTCGGCGCCCAACACGCCGGGCAGCACGCTGCGCCGCGCACACCGTCAGAACGCGGCCGCCCAGCTGGATGCCGACATGGTCAGTGGTGGCACCCGGTCGCTCGTGGGCTGTGGGATACGTCCGAATCGGGGGCGATCTGTGGCGGCGGGTGGCGTCTGACTTCAGCATCCGAACCAGGACCATGCGTCTCCATGCTGTGTCAGGACCATGAGCGTCCGTTTCAGTGTGTACGGTACCGGTGCGCACCCCCTTGTAAGACGCGCAGTGGTTCTGGCTACGTTACCTTGCTCAGATAACCTCCGAGTGGCCAGAAGAGCGCGGTGTTTGAGTCAGGGTATCAGGCCAGTGACGTGCGCGATTCTGTTCACAGAGCGCGCTGCTGGACCCTTTCTCTCCGGGAGAAGACCCCGGCTGGCTGGGCCGGTAACTGTCAATCGCTGTCGGAGCTAGACTCCTGCGCTAACGTAGATGGCAGCACCGTGTGCCCGCTCCCGGCCGCAGTTGGTGGCGCCGCCGGTGGCCACGCGTGTGAGCGGCGCTCGGGGCGAAGCGCCGGTCGCGCGGGTCCTCCGCACTTGTCCTCGGGCGACTACCGTGCTGCTGCGAGAGTGCCCCGGCCGGCTCATCTGCGGGCTCCGCAGCCGAGACGGGGCGCCGCCGGTGGCCACGCGTGCGAGCGTCGCTCGGGGCGAGGCGCCGGTCGCGCGGGTCTTCCGCACTTGTCCTCGGGCGACTACCGTGCTGCTGCGAGAGTGCCCCGGCCCACTGATCCGTGGGCTCCGCAGCCGAGACGGGGCGGCGCCGCGCGCCTGCGCGGAGGGGTGCGACTGGGCATGTCCAGGGCGTTGTTCCGGCCGTCGAAGCCTCGCCGCCGCGCGTCTGTCACGGACCGCCGTCTCATGTGGGCGGTACCAACCGTGCGGAGGATGGTTCGTCCACCGGCCGTCTCCAGCAGGACGTTACGGCCCCTCGCCGAGCCGGCTCACGCGCAGCTGGAGCCCAGTACAAGTGACGTGACCTCTGTTGACCTCCGACACTGGCCGCTGCCTGGTTCGGCCAGGTCATTGGTGCGGCAGGCGCTGGCGGGCCGGTCAGCGTGGGCTCGTGGTGGTGTGCGAGTACGTGCGGGCCCAGTCGGAAGTTAGAGATAGGGAGTAACACCAGGCATTATGGTCTGAATTGGATCTGTTGTCGAACTTTGTGGTATATGTTCGTAACTGGACGGTGAAATGTTGCGCGATAAGAACCCCTGTGCTGTTACTTTTACTAAGCCAACACATGTGATGTAACTGTCTCATATTTTACAGCATGGTATATATTCTCACAGCCAGATGGCTGCTATTGTTTTATTGTTTGCAGATTATTCTCAAGACATGCTCTTTATTCGTGCGTATGATTCAGATGTGGCACGGCATGTTAAACAATTATGTGAAGACCTTCCGGGTATTGTATTTGCATACCGTTGGTGAGTTTGGAGATTGTGAGGTCTGTGATGGCACTCGGTAGCTGTCTGCGAGTGATTTGGGCTGAAATGTAATGACTTAACGGCGTGAGGGCGGTTAGAGCCAATCTGTTCATGGTACCGAACTAGGTTCGGAACATGGATGATGGCTGGAGCGATTTCCCCAACCGCCTCTGGTCAAGATGCCATTTGTATCATTGCTCCGATTTGTATTTGTGATGAGATGTCATTTCAGGGCGCTCTCCGCGCATTCTTCCACACAGAACTTGCATTCCGTGCGGGTTTTTCCAATGGCAGCTGTCATCGCGCGTGCAGTCAACGTAATATTCTTGCGCTGGGCCGTACAGGTGGTATTGTCTGTCGACTCGAGGAGTGGCGTTCGATTCGTGTCATCGTGTGTCTCGCGGTGCTGGTGCCGATGCATACTCTGTTCTGATCGAATGGGACTCCTCGCGAGCCTGGGCCCCTCGGAACGGCCGGATGAACGATGCAAGTAAGTGGACACTTTCGGGTGACAGTCTCAGGTTTCCCGCAAGGCACATGCATTCCAGCTACTCGTTTCATTTTCCTGGAGCGTAGCTCCGGCTGCTGTCGAAAAAGAAACTGCGAAGATTCGTATATGATACGCTTTTTATTTCTGTACCTGGCATTTGGCTGCTGTGACTTGTTTGGTCGTGCATTCGTCTCGCATTTTTACCGAACGCACCAGCTAATTGTCATGGCGTGTTACCGGTGGATCCATGTGCTGTGCGAAGAAATGGACCGGATGCTAGTCCTGTGTTACCGGATGGACTGATCGGTTGTCCTGCTGGCTGTACATGGCAGGCCAGCCGCTGTTTGTGCGGCATTATCAGGTCCACCTGGTAAGGGAGCGAAGGCGGCTATCCGCTATTCTCCGGTCTCAGCGGGTGCTGTGTTGCCAGTCGTCTGGCTACATTCCAAACAGCTACTCTCGGTGTGATCAAAGGTGATTGATGGTTTGCTTCGTGTCAAGTGGTGTCGCAGGACCCGGATCTGTTTACTTCGCCCGGTAATGTTTGTAAGTCGCGATCCGTTCGTGGCAGATGCAGTCGGAAAGTTCAGGCCCGCACGTGGCAACTGTAGCTGGAAAGTTCAGGCCCGCGTCGATGAGCGCGCCGTCCTACCAACGCTGGTTTCCGTGTCCAGGTGCAAGTGCGCCAGGGCATCCCCAGCTCTGCAGCTCCGTTGTCGTGTGGTGGACACTGTGTTCTGTGGTGTCCTGTCGGCTGGGCTGGCGAGGTCGGCCGGCGGGCGCAGGCCGCAGTCCGGCCAGCGTCACCCCCGGCGCGTCGCCTCGCGCAGCGGCTCCGCTCTGTGTGGATCTTGAATACAAACGACGGCTCTCACTCGTCTCGCTCCCATGTGCAAGCGTCGGGCCACACACACGTGGGCTCGCTGACGGCGCCACATGCCGAGCGTCTTGTCCGGACGCTACTCGCTGAATGCCACGAAGATCGGTGCCCTCTTTCAAAACTTGCCTGATACCACGGGCTCTTAGTGCGAGCGGTGCTGATTGTACTGGGGCCACGGACAAGGAAGGCCACGCTGCATGGAAGCTACCGTGTACTGGCGCTGAACGCTGGTAGTGAATGCGCCGTACATCAATCCGAGTGAAGTGGCTGCGAGCGGGGGCGGTGGGCCGAGCGAGTCGTACTGGGATGCTGAGAAAACTTGCGGCTTGAGCGGCCGGACCCGATGCTCCCGCCTTCTGGATCTGCCGTACAGACTTGAAGCATTTGCTTACAAAGTAGCCGGTCGTGATTTTCCTGCAGCAGTGCGTTGCGCAGTGCAGGCATGAGACCAGATAACCAGCGGCCGGAGGACGGCACGGGCGGCCGTATTGGCAACAGTGGGGTTGGCATGTGCGACCGGCCACGCACGCTCAACTGCACCCGATGGGTGCGACCGCTTTGGGTCGTTTTGAAGGACTGATCAGCACACTTGGGTAAGCAGAGCACGCGGAGACGGGTCAACGGGAGCGTGCCAATCCCACATTTCTCCAGACCGGCCTTGAATGCAAAACACTGGCCTGGGTCATGATCGTGCCTCACGAATTTTTGTAGCATCCTATATGATGCGGACACAGCCGTAGCTGCTTTATCCGACGTTTGGGCGCCAGTCCCACTACTTGTGTCGCCAGCGCGTGGCGACTTGTGCGGAGCAGCTGTAGTAAGACGAATGACAAAAAATGCGAGGAACACTGTTGCAGTTCCAAGCCCGCAGAAGCAGCCGTAATACACGGCGGTAATAAAAAGTGTTAAAACTGCCTGATATGACTCCCGTGTGAGAAACTGGCGAGGCCCGTGACTTGTTTCTCGTGCACCCCACAGCACCACGGCGCCACCTCGCCCACCACAGATCACATACACCCCACAACACCACGGCGCCGTCTCGCCCACCACAGATCACATACACCCCACGAGACCACGGCGCCGCCTCGCCCACCACAGATCACATACACCCCATAAGACTATGGCGCCGTTTCGCCCGCCGCAGGTTTTTCCGTGACTCACGTTCGACGGTTGATGCAAGCGTCAAATTGGTTTTCAACTCGTGAGGTCCCATGAGCCGAATGACCCCGCCGCAATCACGATATGCAATTCTACACGGGTGCTCCCCCCCCCCCCCCCCTGGGCATTCGAACTGCTTCACAGGCTCCGCGTTCTTCTGCTGGCAACGGGCGTCAGCGAGTGGCAGGAGCTGAATGTCAGAGGTGACAGCGTCCACAATGGTTTCCTCGTCTCCAGAGGTCAGGCGATTTATCTGGGACTGTGACGTCGGTCTGGACTGTGTGTGACGTCAGTTCGGGCTGTGTGACGTCAGTCCGGGCTGCGGTTCCAATCTGCTTCCCCGAGCGCCCGGCGGCCGCCGCGCTAGTGTGTCAGACGACAGCGATGTACCGCCGCTATTACAAGTCGAGGGCTGGCACACATCGCTCCGTAGTACGTGAGGCAGGCCCTCCAGGGGGTAGACGCAGCGGTGGACTGGTCCAGCAGATCCGTACAAGCCGCTTCGCTGATTGGGCAAACGCTCGGGCGGAACGAGCCGGGCGTGAGAATGGCAATCTCATTCTGATAACTCACATCTGATTTCTGGCTGCCAAAAGCCATCGAAAGGTCCGAGGCACCTCAAAACGCTTCGAAGACAAGTACCCAAAACGCAGCTGAACTATGGCTGTAAATAGCCGTCAGCACCACATCGCGCTCAACATAGAGTGAGCGTCGTCCCGCGGCCGGCAGGTTGTGGCATTGAGGTATGGTCCGGACAAGCAGGTGGCTGTCCAGATCAGCGGTGTTTTTTATTTTTGTGGGTTTGTGGCGCCCACGATTGTGTAAGAGTAGGCTTGCCGTAGCATCTGACCCGACATGGGTGTCAAGCAGAGGCCTTGAGATAACAGCGTCAAGGTCGTATGGCGTTCGTCGTGTGTTCCACACGATCGGGAAGTCGCATCACTTCGCAGCTTCAAGTTTCAGCGAGTTTGGGCACCGGGGAATGGGGCCTGATATGAAAGTGAAGATAACACTTTAAAATACAAAATGCATCGGTAAACAGGAACTCATTGCACGCCGAATGCGTGGGTAAACAGCTCATTGTACGCTAAATGCAACAGGCTGGCTAGATAAGTTTACTGCTTTTATTTTTGGTCGGTTGCAAGGTTCGGAAATTTTGAGTCGATCTGGAAATCGCACCGCAGCCTTGAGGTAAAAACATACGCATTGCCCCACAAATATTGTACGCTCTACACATAATTCAGCTGACTATGAAGGTCTAACTACGACCTTGATTTAAAATGCCCCAGGTGTGTGACTCACGCGGAGGTTTCCCTAGGTCGATGCGAGACCCTGTCACTGGGCTTCTCTGTGGCAGATGTCATTCAGTTATGGTAAGTGTAAGGTGGTGCGCTTGGATAGTTTTTGTAGCGAAGGCATTAGCTACAAAATGGGAGGCTGGAAGTTGGACCAGATTAGACCAGATCAAGGAACAAAAGGACTTAGGGGCTATAATTTATTGGTATTTAAAGGGTAAAAAACAACGTGGTGCTGCTAGGAGCAAGGCGCTCCGGATGCTGGAACTTGTATTCAGGAACGTTCATCAGACGAGGAGGAATGTTGTCAAAAAGTTGTACTTAGATTATGTCAGACCACAACTACAGTGTTTAGTACATGCTTGATCTCCATGCTTCCAAAAATATACAGGTAGACTAGGACGAGTACAGCAAAAAGCAACTAGGACGACGGATGGGACTGGCGACCTAGAACATAAGAATAGGCTAAGGGCCTTGAATTTATATTCACTGAAATGTCGTAGACTTAGAGGGGAGATGGCACAGGTATACAAGATTATGAAGGGGATAGGTAAGGTAGATCTACATGGAGCACTGGAAATTAAGCCGAGACATAGAGGAAACCAGTTTTATTTAGCAAAAGGTAGGAGTAGAACTATGAAGAGGTGCATGTCATTTAGACAAGACGATAGCAATAGCCTTATTCCTAGGAGAAAAGGCACGAGAATAAGAATATAGTTGGGTTGACATTTCGGCAACAGGCTTGTATCGAAACAATAGCAGAAGTACTGTTTCTGCTATGTTCCTCGCTAATGCACTAAACACTTTAAGATGTCATTTGCGTTCGGTGTACTGAACGATTGGAATGGGATGACAAACGAAGTTAGAGGAATCCGTCTCTAGAAACATTTAAAAACCGTTCGGACAAGTTCTGTCGGTCTTAAGATCTCATAGCTAAGTTTCTGTAGGTCACGTGACTATTTTGAGGATGTGGTGCGGAACCCGAGGCAGGGCAACCTCGATGGCTCTTGTGCTTTTTGTCGGGCCGATATCTTTGTCTTATTGCTGAGCTGTCCGCTGACTATGATGGCTTTGTAAAGCCACCTACGTGTGGAACACTAGCGCGCACGTTATGTGCACCATGACGTGGCCAGGCATTTCCACGTGGGTATGCTGAGCTGACCTGCAGACAGGTGGGCTGGGCAGAGAAACTAGGTAAGGTTGGAGGCAACCTTCCATGTTATTGTTCTGCTCCGTCGTTGCAGGAGCATCGAGCGTGAGATTATTTTCGTAAAATGCTGGATCCCGTCTATGGCGGACATCTGTTTTGCGGCTGCCGTTGCATTTTGTTCTTTATCGGGGTGCAAATGTTCTTGCATTGCAGTTCAATGATATGATTTTTTGGCCCAGCAAGCCGCTGGCTTGCTCAAGCTTTGTGTCATCTCCGACTCCTTCCTCGCCCTTTTGAGGCGTTCCTGCGCCTATCCTGAACGAGATTGCGAGTGTGAGCTCATGCTGGTTTGTGGTTACATGTTTTGTTTCATCGAACAATGCCTGCTGTGTTAATTGTGCTAATATTGGAAGTGCAGCATAGCACAAGTAGCTGCAATGTAAGCCAAATCTTGCAGAAAGTATGAGCACCTCCCATGCAGTAAGAGTCCAAAAGGCATGGGTTCCCTCTATACAGTAACATCTTGTCTAAGATTCCAGTCCTCCACCCTTTCCTATCCTATCCGAATCGGTGTTACTCAAAGATTTTAAAACTGGTAAAAGCTTCGAAAAAAGGATTACCAACACGCACATGCAACGATTTGGATGAACAGGTTGAACAACACATGGTCGCAAGCGACCAGCGAGGCAGCGCGCAACCCCTGTACGAAGTGTAAGGGGCGTGTTGTCGGACTATGCGGCCTGACCCGAACCCACCGAACATTTCTGGCCGTCTCACTACTTCGCAATTCATAAGCATGGTAAGACCGTTTAACAGGAAGATAAGTTGGATTTCAAAAAGATGTGGTTGTAACTATGCTGTCCCAGTGTTAAATAAGACAGTATTAATAGCCTTCCTCCTCGTAGAATAAGGTTTTAGTGCTGGCTTACTCATGTGTATCATGTTCCTCACCAGTGCACTCGGCAGCTAACCGTTCCAGTTTTTTTTGACATCACATTAGCGTTATCCGTGCATTGTTGCATGACCAATGTGTCCGTTATCAGCCAGCTATGCCGGCCGCCGGCTCCTCGACGAGGCACAGGCGTGGTGCAGTGCAGCACCCAGGGTTCCATCACAGGGTCTCGTTAGGACCTCCCTTTTTGATAAAAAGGCATAACTTTATCCCATCGCCACCCGCATTTCCACTCCTATCTTGCTTCCTTTCCGCCCCCCCCCCCCCCCTCTGCTCTCCTTGACGCCTCCCAAAAAGCTACTATCCAACACTTGCATAGATTATGTTGTGTTCATAGCACTTGTCAAACAGAGCTTGTAGCGTATTCCAGGATGCCGGATCCCACGACCAAAGATATGGCGATCCAGCTCACCGGGTAGTTTTTTTATA